CCGGCGGTACTTTAATATTCAACTTTTATAAGTTAAAAAGTACTTAATGAAAATAGATTTTATTATAGTGTTTTGGAAAGCTCTTGAGTTAGGCTATAAGAATCTGCAATAAAAAATAGAAAGTTTTATTTTAAAAAATCGATGTGATCTTGGCCTGACCTTGGCGGCGCAATCCAAGGTCATATTAATACAATCAATAAATAGATCTTTTTAAACTAGATTATTTTTATCTGAAACACTTTTCTGTAAAACTTATATTTTCTGAGATATTCAGGTGTTCCGGTACTTTTTTTCACTCTGTGTATATGTATATATACAAAATATTATAACAACAATTATGTGTGATATTTTCATCAAGATTTAATTTATTTTAACATTAAGATATGACATTACATTATATTTTATATTTAATAGCAGTTTTTTTATATTTAATAGCACCTTCAATATGCGGTATACTTTTTGACACGTATTTGTACAATTTTATTCTACGAAGAAAAGAGACAACATTTTTAACTCTTTCTCTCGTATCAATATTTCTTCCTTTTATGCGAGGACGTGGCGCAGATCAGCGAAATTTTTTGTGTGCGCGCATGGACTCCGAAATAACTAGATTTATTAAAGTCGTCTCCCCGTCTTCGTATTACACTCAGACTGTATAATTAATCGGCAACCACCGGACACCAAGAGACGTGACAGAAAAATCGACGTTTCGTCGTCGTGACGGATGGCGTTCTGCGACGCGGGAAGCGGCTATATGTGAGTTATTCTATTAAATATTCAATTATTTCTGCCTTCCACTCTCCTGACGTCTGGAATTTCGTTCGACGCGACAACGACGACGACGACCGACGACGACAACGACAACGGCGGCGACGGCGCACGCTGGTGCACTGTTGGAGCCGGGCGGCGGAACCGGAGAGCTTAATCCCTATTCATAGACTCAATCGAGTGATTTCGAATAAATCCTTCCAACGTTTCGCGGGATCTGCTGCAATTAAAATACTTTAATATCCTTTGGAGCACGTACCCGCTCCGGGCAATGCCTTCACTGCCGTGAAACCTTTTCCCAAACTCGCCGCACCGCTCATTCCTAATTTCTTTTTGGTTACGCTCCGCTCTTATTAAACGTCCCAATCCGCATGCTTCGAGAAAGCACGTTCGCCTCTTCCCTCAAAGCGTCCCTTTATGGCAACACAAGCGAATTCGGACTCGCTCTCCGATTCCCTTCGTATTGCAACGAATAATCGCGCACGAATTTACTATACACGGGCGTTACACAACGGCTTTCACAAAGCTCGCGAGTCGGCTTTGAGATCAACGAAGGTTTCCGCGATTAAGGCGCAACTACATAAACGCGCCAGCTTGGATTTTCTTGGCCAAGCAATTTGCGATTAATACATTATAGTAGCTGATATGTATACATATACATATATATATGTACATATATGTATATATATACGTCTATGTATATATATATAT